ACTATGTGACTGTCACTATTTTGATACAATTATGGAAAATGAGGGAAATTGGGAAAGGTAGTTTGAAAAGATAATCAGTCTTTTAAAATAATGGAATAATGGTAAATCTTTTCAGCAAAATGTAATTGTTAGTATAGTTCTTCCATTTAATATTTATGAAGATGTTTTCCTCTAAGGGGAAGTTCAAAGTATTTTGTAATTCATTCAGTTAACAAGTAAGGAGCAAGTTTTCCTGGAACTGGGACAGAATTTTGCTTAATATTCCTCCCATTGAAAGTCGGAGCATTGGCCAACATCAGCTATTAAGGGTTGCTAGTAAAAGGGGGTTGACTTTTTTCATTGATGTCTTGCCTATTTCCAAAGTAGATTTGAGATGGCTTCTGATAAAATGAGATTGTTAAAATGAGGATAAAAGCTCAAGAGCCATGTAACTGTCAGAGGCCAAGTGTACTGTATACTAGAAACCTAGGTTAAGGAGAGTTGCTGCACTTGAGCATTCAAAGTTAGCTTTCAATATTTTAGTATGCAAGGTAAAAATGGGAACAGTATGTTACCAACCTTTGCTCTCTGAAGGGGACTATGTCTGAAATATTTTAGCTGTTGAGTGCCTGCACAGTGTTCAATAAATGCTTGTTGAAAGAAAGAAACAACTTGTAAACTAAGACCCGATTAAATTTCTTTTAAAATAAGCTAGGCTGTTCCCTTCAAGAACTTCTCTTCATGAAAAAGACTGGACACTTATTATATTACAAGGAAAACTCAAAAACATATCACAAACATCTAATTTCAACGCTTTACTAGACTAGAAAATGGTAACACATTCCAGAGTACGCTAACTGTAAAACCTGGCCAGAATTTCACAGACACAGATGATATCTAAATTGTGCCTATCATAATGACAACCTGTACTCCAGCTGGTATATAATCTGTTTTAAATGGCTTTATCTCATAAAGTTCCCTTACATTTGTGTCTAACACTGATTTGATTTATACAGTCCAGGTAAGATAGAAAGAAAATTGTAATATGTGTTACTAAAGTTTACATTAGTGAAGCTATGAATACAAAGGATGCTAGAAATGCAGAGGTAGTGTGTGAGAAGATAATTTTTTAACTGATTTTACTTAAGACACTGTAGAGAAAGTCAAGCTCTTACTGGGTGCTAATGATCTTATGTCCTATTTAAGAAGTCAGAAAATAAAATTTTATAACAAAATACTGTAAGCAAACTTATGGGTTGAACAGTGTCCCCCCAAATTCATATGCTGAAGTCCTAACCCGCAGTGCTTCAGAATGTAATCTTATTGAAGATAGGGTCTTTGCAGAAGTTAGGATGAGGTCATTAGGGTAGGCCCTGATCCAATGACTGATGTTCTTATAGAAAGTGGAGATTGACATGTATGCAGAGAGAACTCCATGTGAACATGAAGATGGCCATCTACAAGCCAAAGAGAGAGGCCTAGAACAGCTCTTTCCCTAACTGCCCTCAGAAGGAACCAATGCTGCCCACACTTTCCTTTCAGACTTCTAACCCCCAGAACTGTGAGACAATACATTTTTGTTGTTTAAGCCATCCAGTGTGTGGTACTTTGTTACAGCAGCCTGAGCAAACTAATACACAAATTATTTCTGCAAAGCACTTATTTATGTTTAGGGCTTTGGGAGATAGGGAACTACAGACTGAATGCTTTCAAATCTCTTGAAATACAAGCTCAGCTATTATTAGAAAAGGAAAATTACACAAAAAGAATACTTCCTGAATATTTAAGAATAATTATTTTGTATTTAGAAAATTCACTTCCAGCTTGATGTTTTCAAGTTCTCTAATACTTAGAAAACAGCCAACAGCCACAGCTGAGAAGAAATTGTCCATTGACTGCCTAATAGGAAAGGTACAACTTAAACCATACACTTACTTAAATGTTGACCCAGAACCTAACACTTACTTGGGGCTGTGTGATTATTTAAAAATAAAAGCAAGTATCATCAAATCAGTTTACAAGAAGTACAGGAAATGAAAGAACATATTAACACAATATCAAAGCAAACTCAGAATGTGGGACATTCTACAGGACAAATGGCCTGGTTTCTTCAGTAAATAAGTGGCATGGAACAAAAACAGGAGGAGAAGACTGTTTAAATAAAAGAGATTTAAGAAATATATCGATCGGGCCGGCCCGGTGGGGCACTGCTACAGTGCACCGCTTGGGAAGCGTGGTGGCGCTCCCGCCGAGGGTTCGGATCCCACATACAGACCGGCCGCTCACTGGCTGAGCGAGGTGCGGGAGCAACACCGAGGGTTGTGATCCCGTAGCCGGTCCCGGTCCGGTACGGGCGTGACACTGAGGGTTGCGATCCGTTGCCGGGAATGAAAAAAGACAAAAAGGGAAAAAGAAAAAAAAAAAAAAAAGAAATATATCGATCAAATGTCAAGTTTGGATCGTGTTTGAATTAGTAAAAAAAGGCATTTTTGAGAATCAAAAAAATTTATCATGGACTTAGATGAGATTAAGAAATAATTTGTTACAGGTTAATGATGTCTTTGTGATTATGTATATATATTTTTAAAAAGCCCTTCTAATACCCATAAACTCAGATAAAAAGATATGTCAGGGATTTACTTTAAAGCACCCTCTCCCTCCCCCGCAAAATAGAAGGGGATACATGAAAAATGATGTACAAAATGTGAGTAATTGTTAAAGCTGGGTGTTGAGTACATGTAGGTTCTATTTTATATATGTTTTAAATTTTTCATTTAAAAAGTTTTTAACACAATGTGCCAGGCACTATGCATATATTAATTCCTTTTATCCTCACAACAATCCTATGAGATAGCTACTACTACTTCCTCCATTTTACTGGAAAATAAAATAAAATGAAATAAATTCCCTTATTAATGTTGTTGAAGTGAAAGTTCAGAATGTAATAGGGAGACAACCAGACATTTCTGTTTTGTACTTAAAAGGCATGCTTAAAGACTGCACGTAAAGAAATATGCAACTTAAGATATCTATCAGACTGTTAAACTGCTGAAAATAAGTTTTAATTTTCTATTCAACCAGTACCCAAATTGAAAGTTAATGTTATTTATATTTTCCCATCTCACTCATTTTCTGCTTGTTTCATTTTAAATACTTATAATATATATTCTGTCATTATGGAAATAAGCTGCTTCACAACTTGTATTACTAACCAGTTAAATTAGCCTTTTTTTCAAGTTTCATGATAAAATAACAACATGTAACCAACTTTCAAATATTTGACTTAATTTAGGGGAAGCAAAGAGAGAAATTGCACAGATAAACCAGAGGTCACTGTAACTACAAGTCTGAAGTTCTTTCATTCTTTAAGAATTTCTAAAATAGCTACATACAAAGACAAATAGTAAAATAAAGCTTTATCTACTAAAAAGTAAAATAATGTTTACTTTCTTCGTAGGGGATGATAAGCTGACCTTAGAGAAGCCATGGTGTGGGGGTGAGAGGGAAAGAGAGAAAGGCCCCAAGAGTTGAAGGACTAACAACCAGGGTTACAAGATAACTACTGTGGGTTTTGTGCCAGTGAGGCAGGAACAGGGAGCTGGAAAAGAATCCAGTAATTTGGGGCTAAATCTTGGCTCTGACATTCACCACCTCTGGACACTGGGTAAATGACTAAATTTTTCCTCTTTAGTTTCTGACCTTATATGGTTGTTGTGAGATAAAATGAGAACACAGGTGTAAAATAACTATTATAGGGCTAAGTGAATAAGTACTTCATAACTGTTAAGCCCCCTTGCAGCTGGGTCAAAAACTTCCTACCACCTGTGGTGAACTGGTGATTTGATCTTTTGAGTTCTGTAGCTAATCGTTGGATAATTAAAGTGTTTGATCCTGTATAAGGCTTGTGCTACCGAGTGCATGTATGTACACACATACACACATACATATACACACAAAAAACATAAACCAGTGAGGTACAGTGTGTCCCTGAACTCAGGTCTCTAAGACGTAAACACAAAATGATAGCATAAGGGCCATTTTATCTGTCAAAAAACCCCAATTTTTCATCTAAGCATTTAAAAAAAAACATGAAAACTATGGTTATTGTGAATTTGAAAATTAATTTTTATATATGGCATTCTTCTTTGAGATCCCTGGAAGAAGCTAAATTCAAGGTGTAGGGAAAGTAAAGGTAAATGGTCAGGGACCTCAGATCTTCAGAATCTTGCCAAGCATTTGATGTAAATGATAACTGTGCACATGCACCTAGGTTTTCCTGGGTTGTCTGACTCACATCCAGTGTCCTGGGTTATCGGACTTAAGTATAAAGGACCAATGGCTCTGATCCAGTCTCCCCCACCCCCACCTCCGGCCCCAGGATGCTGCAGGGGGGCTACAGGGAAGCCACTACTACTGCTGGAGGCTGTTGCTGCAAGCTGTTGCTGCCAGGGACCCTGGGATGCTCCAGGAGGCCACCACCGCTGCTGCTGGAGGCTGCTGCTGCTGAGGAAGCTGAGGACTGAGCTCACGTTGCAATGAACATGTCAACTCTGTAAACGGTTCCTGGGATCCTTCCCAATTACCTAGCTCACGACCTGTATGTGAGGGATCTATGACCCAGCCTGGCATGTGAGGAGTCTGGTGACCCAGCCAGCACGTGAGGGGTCTGGTAACCCAGCCTGCCATTTGAGGGGTCTATGACCCAATCTGTACAATGGGTTTGAAGGGTCTGAGCTATAGCCTGAAAATTGGCATAGCCTTCAGGATTCCGAGCAGGTAAAAGAGCCCAACACAAGGTATAAGAGTATGCCATATTTCTGGAAATTATCAATTTATTAAAATAGTTAATAAGCCAAATAAATTGAGGGCTCCTGAGTTTTGTTTTGTTTAAAGAAACATTCCTGAAATTAAATACTTAATTACACATGACCTCACTTAGAATTATTGAAACATAGGTATTTTTTGAAGAAAAATAAAATTTACTTTTTGTAATGAACAGTTGTCAGTTTTGAAAGTCTTACCTGTTTGATTTGATGAAGGCGGCTGATGGAAGTACGAATGGGAGGTGGCAACAACTGAAATTTAAAATATTGAAGTCAGGTTTGTTGTAATGTTTCTGATAATTATTTCTAAACACTAAGTCAATGTTGAATTACCTAAGATACTTATTTATAAATGTTTGAGATGATGGATATGCTAATTACCTTGATTTGATCATCACACATTGTATACATGTATTGAAACATCACTCTGCACCCCATAAATATGTACAGTTATTATGTGTTGATAAAAAATATTTTTTGAGTGCCTAATGCATGCCAGCAACAGGATCAGTTAAGTTCAAAGTTAAAAAAAATCCAATTAGGTCTTGACTGAAAATTATACTAATTAAAAATCCATACATTTCAAAATAAGATAACTGCTAACATATGAAATATGGGGTAGAACATCAATAGAAGATTTTATCTCTACCTTACTTTCCTAAGGCACTAGATCTTAAAATAACCTCATTTTTCTTACCAGTTTTAGCTTAGTGAGAGGCATTACCCAGAAAAAAAGCTGAAACAGTCATTAAATCAGTAGCTAATTTGCAAAGCACACAAAAGAAACCTAAACAGAATAACTCCATCAAATATCTTGGAACCTAGCTGGGGAAACCAAACTTTCATGATATGGAATGACTTAAGGCAATCACTTTCAAGTAGTTTAATTAGTACATTTTATTCTTTGTTGCTAAGATACTTGTTGTCTGTCCTTTCTCTTTTTCAGAGTTACTTTCTCTTTTTCAGTCTTTTCTCAAAGTTTATGGGGACCCACACAAGAGAAGGAATGAAAGAATGGTGGGATTTAAAGTTAAGTGTGAAAATGAAGCTTAAAAACTATCTTCAGAATTCAGTTATCATTCTATTGTACCCTGGTTATTTTTTGAAATGCCAGATAATAAATTTACCATATCTTCCCTTCACATTATATCTTAAGAGCACTTGAGTTGCATGTTCAAAAATATTTAATGAGCACCTACTATGTGCTAGGCCCTGAGGATCCAAAGATAAGACATTTTCCTGTCCTTGAGCAAGTCAAAGTCTAGTTAGGGAAAACTAGGCCATAGGCAAGTGCCAGAACAGAGTTATGATCTATAGGAGTTCAAAGGACAAAGAACTCTGCCTGGGGTCTTGGAGAAGGCTTCACAGAAGAGGTAGGAATTCATTAGATAAAGAAGAGGAGGAAGGGCATTTCAAGGAGTGAGAAGAGATACACAGGCAGAGGCATGTTTGGGGAACAGAGAGATTCAGTGTGGCTGGAACTTGGTACTTAAGAAGGAAGGGCAGGAAACAAATCTGGGGAAATTTGGCTGAAACCAGATTATGGGTTTTGGACTTTAGCCTTCGGGCCCAATGGGAAACCCGAAGCATAGGTTCCTTTGAGTTCTTAAACCTCACAGGTTTGTTTTTGTTTTGCTGCTGGCCAGTACAGGGATTGAACCCTGGACCTTGGTGTTATCAGCACCATGCTCTAACCAACTGAGCTAACTGGCCAGCCTCAAAGGTCTTTTAAACAAGAAGGTCATATCTGCTTTAGAAAGGTAACCCTAGCAGCATTATGCAGAACATATTAACGGTGGAGGAAAGAGGGACTAGAAGAGGGTCACAGGCCAGGTCAAAGATGAGTGTCTGAATGAAAAAGGCAAGGATGAAGAGAAGGAGGCAGATTGGAGAAAGGATCAGAAAGAGGGAAGAGTTAGATCTGCCTGAGATTCCTGGTTGAAACCAATAGGTGGATGGTGGCCTAGAGAGGCAGTAAGAGGAATGTATTAGTCCATTTCTGTTGCTATAACATAATACCCGAAACTGGGTAATTTACAATGAAATAAAATTTATTCCTTACAGTTTCAGAAGCTGAGAAGTCCAAAGTCCAGGGAACACATCTGGTGAGGGCCTTATTGGGGGTGACTCTACACAAGGTGTCACATGACAAGAATGGCAGAAGAAAGAGAGAGCTAAGCTTCTCAGTTGATCTCCTTTTAAAGCCATAAGAACCATGCCCATGACCACCATTAAACCATCAATGGATTAATCCATTCCCTAGGGCATAGTTCTCACAATCTAATCACCTCTTAAAGGCCCCACATTTCAATTACCATAATAGGATTTCCCACCCTCTTAACACTGTCACAGTGGGGATATTAAGTTTTTAATACATGAATGTATTAATTAATTAATTAATGGGGGACACAATTCAATCCATAGCAAGGAGTGAGTGGGGAGATGAGTGCTCAAAAAGTGTGTTGGATAAATAAATGTTTTTATGAAGCAGATAATCTGAATTTTTATTGGGTTTTCAAATGTATCATATGACTTTTTAAGGAGCATATTACCTTACTAATTATATTTTGCTTAAAGTTTAAATCAGTTTGTTTTCCCAATAATTTGCTAGAAGGTAGATGAAACAGCCAAGGTTGCAAAAATAACAACAGAAAATTCATATATAAGTAATTAAAAATTCACTACATATATATTATAGTTGACACTTAGCCACAACTACTTCACCATAATAATTCACTATCATAAAGATATGGCTAACTTGTAAGTATTTCAATATTTTTTGAGTCATTATTATGTTTAAGGAGCTGTTTTTCTGCTCAGAGGGGAAGGAGAGAGTTTAAAACAAAACAAAACTAAAAAGCCATAGTTATTACCCTCAGAGACCTTACAATCCACTGAGGAAACCAGTCATGGAAACAGATATTATATAAGAGACATGGTAATGAGTGTTAAATGGAGGCAAAGTGGGGTGGGAATAAAAAACAAAGATCAAGTAGATGTGTGGTAGGGGGTGGGTGGTAGAAGACATAGAAGAAAGCATAAGGTGGCATTTGAGTTGGGCCTTGTAGGACGAGGAGTTTGACAGCATAAGCAACAGAAAAGTGAAAGTGCTTGGCAAGTTTTAGGAAAGGTGATTAGTCCTGTGTGAGAGGAACACCAGGAGTCCCTGGAGGGAGAGAAGCCTCTGAGGCTGAAAGGGTGAAGATGATGGAAAGCTTTACATGCCATGCTCAAAAAGTTTAAATTGGGGAGAACTGATCTACTCTGGCACATATAGGAGAGGAGCAGGTTACACCTAACAGCACCATCTATTTAACTTTGGAATAGACATACTCAGATATTCATCAGCCCTGAGACTGGTTCAGTTCCCATCCAGAGGACGGGTATAAAGAAGGAAGTGTCTGACAGTTGTGGACTGTTGATTGGCCAGTAACTCAGACTTGCCTGTAGTAATCATGTTCTAGGCTTACTATTTCAAGAAAATTTCTCATTCAAATCAATAATGCTATTAGCCTACCCTTTTCACAAAAGTCAAGAAACTTTTCTGGGTAAAACTTACATAAAAGGGATACATTGAGTATATGATTTGTTGCTCTAGGGAATAGTGTTATTAACAATGTACCAGAGCTTCTCTTTCAAGCATCTATTTATATTCAATGTGATAATGGTGATAATGCATGTAATATGCTTAGCACAGTGCCTGGCACATAGTTGGTGCTCAATAAATGGTAACTGACTATTATTACTACCACCATTATCACCACCATCATCAAACATTTCTAGAATTCAATGTTTAATTACCTATAAATAACTTGGATTATATGTGGTAGATTTATAAAACTAGGCTGTTTCCTACTACCAGTATTCTTCAGTCTTCTTCTTATTTGATCTTTAATTTTATCTATTTAATTTATTTTTTAATAGACTAATTTTTACAGCAGTTATAGATTTATAGGAAAACTGTGGAAGGCACAGAGATTTCCCATACACACCTTGCCCCCACGTATGCAAAGCCTGACCCACTATCAACATCCCCACCAGAGTGGTACATTTTTTAGAATGGATGAACCTACACTGACACATCATTATCACTCAAAGTCCACAGTTTACATTAAGGTTCACTCTTGGTGCTGTACATTCTGTGGGTTTGAAGAAATATAAAAATGACATGTATCCGTCATTATGGTATTGTACAGAATAGTTTCACTGCCTTAAAATCCCTCTGTGCTCTGCCTATTCTCCCAATTTTTTTAAAAAAATAGAAATTGACTCACTTTTTTCTCATTATAAAGCAATACATGTTCAGTATAAAACATAATTAATGACAAAAAACAGCATCACCCACCATCCAGAGATGACTGTAGCAAATATTTCAGTGTTTGTTTTTCCAGACCTAGATCCTACTGTACATACTATGTTAAAGTTTGGGGGGTTTATGTCCATATATTATACATTCTGAGCATCTTTCCATGTTAACATTCATCTGCAACACCATTTTTAAAGGCTGAATATTACACTGTATGGATATACCACAATAATAAGCAGCACTTATTATGTGCCAGACATGTTTTATCCTGCTCAATTCTCACAGCCCCATGATGTAGGCACTATTATTGTCCCCACTTTAAAGATTAGAAAACTGAGGGCTAGGGAGAATAAGCAACTTGCTCAAGGTCATACAGTCATTGCTAGAACTAGAATTCAAACACAGGTAATGAAGGCTCTTTCATTTAACCTATTCCCTATTGTTAGACATTCCAACTGTTGCCACAATTTTTGCTAGCTCTTATAATTAATGCTGTGATAACATCCTTTGAGCTAATTTTTGCACACATCCTTAATTAATTCTTTAGGATAAATTCATAGAATTGGAATTTCTGGGTAGCAAGGCCGTTGATACATATACATTGCTGAACTGCCCCCCAGAAAGCTTATACAAATTTACTTCCAGTGGGGTATGAGAATATCAATTCCCTTGCACATTCCCAACACTAGATATTGCTAATTTAAAAACATATTTGTATATCCATTCTTAAGGCATCCTATAAAAATAATCGACCTTCTAAAGCAAGTAGACAATACTGTTATTTATACACAGTTTTGGATATTCTTCCCCAGTGCTCCCCTTTAGTAGCACTGATCATTGAGAAGTTGTGCATTGGCATAAACCAAGTCTGAAAAATTTAAGTTTTTCCTAAAAAAAACCCTCAAAAAATATGTATACATATATATATGTGCACATCTTTGAACAA